ATCAAATAAAATCGAGCGATTTAAAATGTGAGTATAGGAAATTATTATGTAACTTATATGATGTTGCACATATGAGAATTATACACTTAAGCTTGATTTACAAAAAGGCCGATTATCTTTGTTTACAAAGTAATAAATAAATCGCTATATATCTGTATTAAATGCTTACTTACTGTGTACAAAGGGTAATAATTCATGTCCATTAGTAAATAAAATTTTAATTCAGAAGTAACCGAGGCATGACAGAACTTCAAGATAATAACATCTTGAATTCTTAAAAAATATTGAAAAAAGTATGTACGATAGCATCAAATTTGTATAAGGCGAAACCAAAACAAACGATTAGGGATATTAAAAATACGTTGGTTGTAGAATAAAAATTTTTCATTGCAGGAACGAACGGAAAGAGCGAGATCGAATGAGCGCGGGAGAGAGAGAGAGAGAGAGAGAGTTGGAGTCGGTTAGAAGGGGGAGGGGGATACATCAAGGACGGTTGACGTATCGGCAATTATGGACAACAGGGGCAAATAAATAATACCCTGGATCAGGACGAGGGATGTGGCTGCTTCTCGGACAGGTAGTAATATTCTCCTTGGAGGCTGTAACTCATACCCGACGTCGTTCCTTGTTTCGCCTTACCCGAGCCAACAGAATTCAATTGGATAAAGAGAGAGAGAGAGAGAGAGAGAGAGAGAGAGAGAGAGAGAGAGAGAAAAGAAAGAAACAAAATCGAAACAAAATCGGAAGAACCATCCGACCGGTGGACGCTGCTGACGCGACGGAGCTTCCATACTTGCGTGAACTTGCGACGCTTGTTTATTGGTAAAATGGTAGAATATGCGTGAGGCCAATTAGCTGGCGCATAACCGTAATACACCGCTACGTCCAAAGATTTAATCGGAATACCGACGTTGCCATGCTGCCCTCTGGTATTTCCACGTGCGCGTTTATACGTTTACCAGGTGAGATAATGAATAACATGTTTTTTGCGCTTGCGTAGATGCTCGTCATTCTCGAAAAGCTTGGTATTTATCGCGGAATGAATGAAAAAACGACAACTTGTTAAGTGTTTTTCTCGATGATATTTCTCGTATTTTCATTAATTTTCTTTGTTTGTTTTCGTTTTGGTTTTTTTTTTTGTTTTTGTTTTTTTTGGTTAAAAATCAACGACGATCTTTCAATATAGCCGAGGTTGAAAGATTTACCTTGTACGTTGAGGCGGTGGTCATGCAGACAGTCGTGTGGTTTTATTGCGCGTATTAATGTAGAGAAAGTTGAGTAGACGAAAATTAATTTTCATGGATAGGAGGTGGAAATACAGCTCGGGATATCAAGAAAATGTATCGTTGGCTATCCGACATAATTGTAATAGAATTGTCTGTATAATATGTCCCAACGTCTGAACTGCAATGCTTGTAAGAACTTGGCTTAATTAAGAATCGCACTTCTCCATGATTTTAATTTATTTTCATGGATCGTAGATATTAGTTTAAGTAAGTATTTCGAAAGTTACGGCGAAACTTTGGAAAAATCAAGAAATTATTATCAGCTGTTTTTTTTTTTTTTTCTTACGGAAAAGTAAATACTCCACGTCGTGCATCCAAAGCGTAATAATTAAACATTTTCAGTACATCGAGTAATTTATGCCGTGTGTACTTTCAGGGAATCTCGCCAGAAAAGTCAAGTTAATTTGCAAGATCAGCCTGATAAGACAGGAGACAAGTGTAGCTCAAGATGGTGCTAGATCACTCGAGATCGTTTACAGCAAACGACCTTTTATACGTCTCATGCCTTACGCCTACCAGATTTCCATCTGACGGTGCAACGCGCGATTAAGGATTTTGATAAAACCGAACTCAACTATTCTTCAAAGCGGCCACTTTTCTCGTGATTAGTTTTGGACAAGACGGAGAAACTCGGGTGCTTGCGGCAAAGAAAGCAAGGCTAGCCAACCACTCGTATATACCAATCGAGTAAATGCGACTTTGAGATTGGAATCGGCGGAATTGAAACAGTCATGTTTCACTTTGTAGTAATGTATTGGCCATATTTGCATTGTCAGGTGCTGTAGCAGAGCGCGCTTGAATAATGTGTTATAAGACTTTTTCATAATGAAGTGAAAAATTAGTATACGCGTGGATGGTGGTTTTGTTTTTTTTATTCTTTAGTTTTTTTTTTTTTTTTTGTCGGTTTTTTTTTGCCTGCTTTTTTTTTGTCTGCTTTTTTTTGTCTGTTTTCTTTAGTCTTTCTTTATTGTTTTTTTTTTTTTTTTTTTTTTTTTTTTTGTTTTTTTTTTTTTTTTTGTCGGTTTTTTTTTGCCTGCTTTTTTTTTGTCTGCTTTTTTTTGTCTGTTTTCTTTAGTCTTTCTTTATTGTTTTTTTTTTTTTTTGTTTTTCTTTATTGTTTTTTTTTTTGTCTGTTTTTTTTCTTCATCTGGTTAAGACAGTTTTTCGAACAAGCTTAATTATCAATTCTCAGTGCCTCTACAAACAAAACTACAAATGAAAAAACAAGAAAAAAACCCAAGCGAACGCTAAAAATGCGCACACTTGCATAACAAATGGCTTTTAATCTACAATTCTGACGTGCGCGAAGATCGAAGGGAGAAAAACTAAAAGAAAAGAATACTATAAGCCGGGATAATTAAAGATTTCATGCTGAAAGGAGCAGCATTTTCGAAAGACGAAGCCACGAGAAATTCGAATAAAATAAGATGAAGGAACCAAAGAGAGGCAAGATCTCTCTGACTTATGCATCCATTTTAGCTAATAATTCCGTTATACCTCTTCGCATCCATATTACCACCATAAAGAACATAATGGATGCGTCGGGGCTATTTACGAGTCCCGACTAGACGAATGAAGGAAGAACCAAAATCCGAGGAGTAGCCTCTACACGCATACGCTTATGCGCGTATACGCGTGCGTTTGTGTATAGAGGACTCGAGCGAACGCGGGGCGTAAAATTGGGAACACACCGAGATGGGGCCGCCTCGTCATCCGTCAACTGTCGGACGTCCGACCAATCCTGGACCGCGGCGGCGGAACGAACGACGAAACGAGTCGAGCAGCCACCCACGACTCGGTTTTGAGCCTCGGCAAATTACGCCCGCAGTCTCAAGTTCCGCGCGCGTACGGATACCTGGCAAATTCGTTTTATTTCTCGTTTATCCTCTAGACGGATGACGCGCTCCCGAGCATCGACTCAGCGACGATTAGTGACTACGCGACGAAAACTGCTGCGACTTTTACGTTCGGCGGATGAATCGATCGGATTCGTCAATTAAATGCTCGGAGCGTACGAAGCTTATAAGCCAAGAGCTTGAACATCCAGACCGTTAATGCGTTATTGGTAATCTGGCTATCGTTAAACGTTAACGGACCGATTATAATCTATCACATTTGAAATTTCCATGTCAAAATTTAAGCCTCGATTGATTATAAGATCTCAGCGCCAGTTGAATATTGCAATAAATTAGCTCTCACGCATCCTCAACTGTCTACCTCCGTCTGCACATGCACGGATACACGAATTTAACGATTTAATAGATTTTCCCGGGTCACATCGTTCGAGTATTACTACGTTTACTCGTCCTCGGCGATCTTTGCCCCTATTAAATTCACCTGATTACCATCAATTCAATCTATTCGATCGCTGGGCACGACAACGATAATTCTCATAACCTCTTGATCGATGGCATTGGCTACGAAAATGTATCGCCGACGTCGCCGTGCATAAATGCAGGCAAAGTGAAAAATGAGCGAGTGCCGCGGGGTGGAAATCGTGGCAGAAGAAAGGGGAAGGAGCTATTTGACGCATCATGGAGATAGGTTTTGGTCTGCGTCAAGCCGCGCAACTTTTATGTAAAACCATTTCTCACTACGCAACCGTTAGTTCGCGCACATACTTATATGGCGGGAGATTCCACGGGTCACGAGAATTTCATCCTCCATTCGACTCGCAAGGAATAATCGCCACCGGGAAGACTTATTATATATACGGAGCCTCGTTCTTAGCCCTTAGGATGTTGCAGCTGCGCTTGCATCTTGTGTTGTGATTGCGCTAGTCCGTGTAAAATGCATGCGAACGCGGCAATCTTTACTGCGACTTCGACTTTTCGCATAATTGAATGTCCAATTCTGACTGTCGCGATCGAATCCCGCATAATCGCCGCTGAATGTTTTGATGTGAGGTGAGATAAAATTATTATCTCTCTCCCTCTCTCTCTCTCTCTCTCTCTCTCTCTCTTGTACCTGTGTGCTGTATGCAACGTCACATGCGTGTGCATCAAATATATTCAAGAGGGAGATGGGCTTTCGAGGTCGGAAAAATAAATCATAGCGATGACGAATCGATGAATATTGTCTCTAGCCATTCGTGTGTTTTTAAAGAAATATAATTAATTGACAAACTGCAATTAATCTGAAAAGCTGGCATCAATTTCTCAATTATTTCTTATGTTTCACGTATGTCGTAATTGTACTTTCAAAAGTTATATATATATATATATATATATATATATATATATGTATTTATTGTTTGCTTTATTTTTAATAACATTAGTATGTCTTACTAAGATGACGATGGTCATTTTCTCATTGTGTTGCGCAAATCTAATTGTCATGTGCAACGTGTGACCCCAAGCATCGCAAATTTGTAAGATAATACATTGATGGAGGGGAAGAGATGAGAGTAAACTATAAAAGGACTGTATGAGGTAATGAATGAAGCCCTTTTGCATTCCACGGTTAATTACTTTTTTTCATTATTATATATCATCATTATATATATATATATATATATATATATAAGTGTGTGGGTGTGTGGGTGTGTGGGTGTGTGTGTGTGTGTCTTTTAATTCTTTTCCTTTTTGCACGAGTTTAAATTTCAGATTTAAAAAAAAATAACCATCGGTAGATTTTTCTCTACTTAAATCCAAATGTGCCACGACATTGGCTAATTTAAATACTATTGACACAACGAAGTGAATTCGTTTTTACCTTTGAGCTGTTTGACGGCAGGCAAGAGGCGAGCCCAAATCGCAAGCAACACCTATAAATATGGTATTTTGAACGGTACTCTAGTTCCTTTTCGCGAACAATGAAGCATTTATTCAATATTGAAAGGCTCTTGTCTCTCAGTAGCCAACTTAACCACTCGCGGTATCGTAGACTGCGCTCATCCCATCATCAGAAAGCATGAAAAATTCCACATTATATTAACAATTTCCTTGCTTGCGAGTGTCGAGCAGTAACCCTACTGCTTTCTTGCCGTCTAAGGCCCCCGAACGATGTATTGCATTGTCAATGGGACGTGCATAATAGTGTGCTGCCGGCTGAAAAAGCCCGAAGACACTTCAAAGCGACAAGTTTACGAGTCCGTAATTCTTCATCGGCAGGGGCCCAACACCCCGACGCAAAATAAATCACTGGTCGCTCGATCTCACGGCAAATAAAGGAAAATCGCGAGAAGACGCGGGAATCGGTGCTACAGATCGGAAGCGGAGTGCTACACGATCACCGGTAGATCGGCGCGGCTTAAACCCTCGATCCGCTACTGGCACTCGGCGACGCCGCCGTAGCCGTTGCCACCGCCGCCGCCACCGCCGCCGCCGCCGCCGCCGCCGCCGCCGCCGCCGCTGCCACCGCCGCTGCCACCGCTGCCGTCGCCGTCGCCCCAGCCACCGCTGCCGTCCTCTGCGCTATCGCTAGCGATAAGCTACGAGCCACTTGCCGACACACACGTACGTGCCGCGTCTGTGTCGAGCGATTTACCTTTCACGAGAGCGGCTTCTTGCCGCCGCCATCGCCGGGCGTATCGATCGTCTCACGTGTCTCGGCCGCGCCGTACGACTGCTGCGGCGCGCGTACATGCGCCGGTGGAAGGTCGCTGCCGATTGTCATTGCGAAACACCCCTGACATCATCGCCGGAGCGTTCACTCCCTGTCACTTTTCTATCCCTACCCAGCGAAAAGAGGCTCCTTGATTCGTCAAAACGCGGACGCTGTTTCGACTCGACGACGAGCATCAAGGTCCGGCCTATCGATCCTCGCTCGCAGTCCGCAATCCTTCGACGATCTATCGTTATACCGGATCCCGGGGATAGAGAGATAGTGCAATAGTAGAACGGCTGTGGATAGGAGAGGGATAGAGGACGAGGAAAGGACCAAATTCTTTGAATTCGCAATTCTTGCGGCACCGAGCCGCGCGAACTCTCACGGCCGTGTAAAAGCTTTCTTACTCTCCGGACTTGGATCAATTAGACGCCGCTAATGTAAATAATTGCTCGTTAATGTATTTCCCAACCGAGACGTAACCGAGACGTAGCCGAGACTCATTTAGGCTACGCGCAGCTTCCACGACAGCGGCTCACTCGTAATTAAAATGCTCGAGCGAGCGAGTGTAATTGGCGATAGAGCCAATGAGCCGACGTAATGCCATTGCGTCGATAAATAAAAGTGGAACGCGCTCGCGAGTTTCGATCGCCGTGCAAGGAGGGACGAGAGAGTGGGGGATATTGGACCATCGATCCCGTAATGTCGATCGATCTGTTGGCCCGGAAGGAAGCGTCGCGCCCCGGTCGACCAATCAACTCGTGCGATCGTCGTTGAAAACTCCGGCGCGTTCACGGCTTCATACGCCCACGCACTCGAGCGTTAGGCGAATCTAGGAGCGATCGATCATGCGCTAATATTAAGGCTCGCTTGGAAAAAATGCGCGCGTCGTCGCGTCTGCTGATATTATCTGGACGGGCCGCGGAAATTTTATACAGTCGGGATTGTTGAAAAGTGACTCGCCCGACTACTATTGCGTTATTGTTTTGCGCGACGGTGTTTTTACGGCGGTTTGCGAAAAGTGCGTGGACGAGGCCTGCCTACATTTGATTTTTATTGGCGTAGCAAATGCGCGGCTGAAACGTAGGCTGGACAAGTCAGATGCGCCTGTGTCTTCGTGTATTGCGATATACGAATGCTGCGGTGTACAGTCGCTGCATTGCTAACGAAATGAGAGATAAACGATATGTAGCTTTATCGCCGTAGACTATCTGTCTGAATAATTCTTACTGTACTGTTCGCATTCGGATATGAGAATCGATGTTTCCTTATTTCCTACGAAGCATTAGTGGTAGGGGATTAATGAGAATGGTCGTGCGTTATGGATGCGCACTACTTGACGAAGTCTATAACGGAGGCCGAGGAAACATTCGCTTCAACGTTTCGTTATTCAAATGCCTGCTATTCTAATGAAAACCCCGTGGTTAAGATTCACTTACAAGTTGGATTTTAATTCTTACTCGGTATCGGCATTGGTCAAATCCCATTTTGGATCCCCAAATTTACTCTCGATTTCCATTTAGAGGGTTTCCTTCGCTCCCACGTTCCCTTGCTCGTAAGAGGCAGCGGGGGCGAGAGCCATTATTGTTTTTGGCCAGTTGATGTTCATTTCGACGAGCGCTCTTCGGTTCGGAACCACCAGTCCTCACGTCCATATATCTGTAATTACCGTGAAGGGACGCGGAAGCAACGAATGCTTTTAACGATCTAACCCCCGAGATATTGGCCGAACGAGGAGGGACGGAAAAACGAGAAATCAAGGATGTAGGAACCTACATAGTGCTGCCCTGGAACTTGTACGAGACAGGGAGATTTTTTTTTTTGCTTTTTTTTTTTTGCTCCTTTAAATAGAACGTACGCTTAATATAGGCGTGCTTTATTGAACAAAATAGAAATTCACTCGATCATGTGTAATAATAATGGATAACATTATAATTGCTAATTATTCTAATGGAATACTTCCGTGTAATTAATTCCGCTTTCGACGAATGTTATTATTATAAAATGTATTCCACGAACACATGCGCGCGCGCACATGTATGTATGTGTATATATATATATATATATATGTATAAATATGTATATATAGGGAAAAATTATTTATAGAATTCATAATAATAGTGTCGTGTATGTTTAATCGTTCGAGAATTCGATAATTGCCAATTTATTATAATATAAGTAATTTATAATTTATCGACAATAAACCAAATTCATTGTTGGAAAACATTGAAATTACCGTCTAATATAAGGATGTGGGCAAACGAAAAATAGTAATGGCATGTATGTAAAACAGTATTATCAATGCAAAATACCATGTTTCACAGAAATTCTTATGATAATATATCTCGTACTTTGTTTTTTCATTACTAAATATCAATATGCACGAGTTTTTAAGTAGTTGCATAGTTTTCACACGCATGCTCGTGCGAACGAAAAAATTATATCGCAAATCTTGTATTTGCACTCTCCTAGTCTATATAAATTATACGTATAATAGGTTATCGTCAAAATTTGTCTGAATAATTTAAATATGACGGGGACGGCACATGAACCTGCTATATATATATATATATATATATATATATATACATTTCTCATTGTGTCAAATGATTGAAAAGAAGTCGATGTTCAGAAAATACACAACAACCGGCTTTCCGTCCATGTGAGACTTAACGAAAAGAGGCAAAAGAAGAAGTAGATAAAGCTAATGCTACTCAATAGCAGAAAACGGCATAATACACGTGCATTAAAGATCGATAAATATACGAAATATCCATGTTGGTAGATTGTAACTATCTCACACGTTGTACTAGGCACATTAATTAGCTCGATCTTTTTCCCCGTACGTGCCCGGCCACCCTCGTAACCGCCATGGATTGTTGCTCCCCGTCCCTCCTCCCGGCCCGCTCATTATTTGCCGCGGCGTGTTCCTGTCCTTCAGCGTACGGGCGCACGTTTGGTGCGCGAGATCGCGCACACAGGGGGTAGTCCCTGCTAGCAATTACGCATCGCGTGATTTGTGGCCGTAACTCCGCGGTACGCCTCGTAGGAGCGTCATGACGTCGCCGTCGCTTTATATATCAACGATATATAAATATCCGCGCACAGGTGAAGGAGGACACGAAGTTAGACCAGAGCCTCGCCCGCTGCGTTTTCGTACGCTTGAAATTGCGTACGGAATTCTGCTCGGACTGCACTTCCGCTCGTTCTCGGGGGACTCGCGTGCCGACCATTGGCATTCACATCCGAAATGAGCATACCGGGAAAAATGCCTCTTACACGATGCGATATCAGTCGGGTGTATAGCGAGAGGTGTATTGTGATAAGGTTGGGGTAAGGCCGACTGTCGCAAGCTAGTTCATTCGTACTCTACGGAATCGTCAACCTTAACCTTATAAAGCTCATTATCAAATGTCCCTTATTTCTCGATCGATAATTCAGTAGATTACGAAATGATTTCGTTCCGCGAACGAGCAGTACTTAATAGAGTAACGGGCCTTTTAAAGTCGAGGGGGAAAGGCCGGTCGAGATATGCGAACGAAGAAATATGTACTACATCTCTTATCTAATGGCACTGCTAATTGAAGCCAATCCCCTTAATGTGCTTCGATCTTTGTCATTGATCGAGCTTATTAATCGGAGATAGATCGTTGCACGTCGTAGGAACGTTATGCAAGCGATTGGGGCTAATCGGGTAATGTTAGAGCGAGGGCTCGATGAGCCGATTTATTTGGCAAAAACTCCGTCATTGCCACTTTTATTCCCATTATAATTGGAATTATTTATATGGGAGGGGCAGGGCCGTGTCGAGCAAGGCGTTTCGGCATTTTAAGTGACCCGACACAGCTGAATTATTCTCGTGTCTTTGCTTACGTTGCACTCTCTTCTCGATTCATTTTATCGTTCGATTATGCGATTATTATGATGATTCTGAATGATTATTAAGATTTTTATTACCGCGACGTATTTCGTGTTTCTTTAATAACGCGTTGATATTCGAGATTCTAAGGGATCGTGATTTTTCATTGTAAAAAATGAGAATATTGATAACGTAGATGCGTTAAAGCTAGCAAACCACTTTGTTTACTGCAAATGTAATTTGCAACAAACAATTGATAACGTGCATTGATAAGAATTATAAGAGGAATATTATTAAGGAGCAATGAAATTAAAAATTTTTTGTAATTTTGTGTCTGCATCGCATCGATTATACATAAACTTACGACGATTAAACGTACCGCTGGTAAAATTGTCAATATATACTTCAAATTGGAAGGTGTAATAAGACTTCTCAGAGAGTGAAATCGTACGAAGCAGGAAATAATAACTATAGTAAAT